AAGTTAAAGATCAAGGCATGATATACCTTGAACCCTTCCGGAGTTGTGAATACCACACCTCCACCGTAACCTTTCGGTCCAGCGGCTCCATCTACTGACATGGACCACCAAGGCTCTGTGATCGTCCTTGCCGGTTCCTCCTCCTGGTGACCCGTCATCTCCACAAGAAAGTCAGCCACAGCCTGTCCCTTTATTGCCGTCCTCGGACGATATTCGATGTTGAATTGGGTAAGCATCATGGCCCATTTGATCATCCTTCCCGATGAAGTGGAGTCTCTCATGATTGTGCCCAATGGTAGGTCGGTCAATACGACAATGGGATGGGCTTGGAAGTACGACGTGAGTTTCTTCGCTGTTATAAAAAGTGCATACCCTGCCTTCTCCGTAGGAGTGTACCTACTTTCTGCCCCATTTAAGGCCTTGCTTACATAATAGATGGGCCTCTGGACCCCATCATCCCTCATCAAGACCGAGCTAACAGCCATTTGAGTTACCCCTATGTAGAGGTATAGAGTCTCCTTCGTTTCCGGCTTGGATAGGACAATATCTGAAGTCAGGTACGTCTTTAGCTCTTCGAATGCCCTGGCACATTCGTCATCCCACTGGAAGGTGTTGGCTTTCTTTAAGACTTTAAAGAAAGGTAAGGCCTTCTCAGCTGATCTGGACAAGAACCGGTTTAGGGCCGCCAGGCGCCCCGTCAATCTCTGGACATCCCTTACCGAGGTTGGGGGTTGCATCTCAACAATAGCCTTGATCTTCTCAGGATTTGGCTCAACCCCCCTCTTCGTAACCATGAACCGCAAGAACTTCTCTGTCCTTACGGCAAAAACACACTTCTTTGGATTAAGTCTAAGATTATGGCTAGCCATAATCTCAAAACATTTTTCCAGGTCTTGAGCGTGTGTGTTGGCTGTCCTGCTTTTCACCAGCATATCATCGACATAGGCCTCCATGGTCCGTCCAAGTAAAGGCCTAAACAATTTGTTGATCATCCTCTGGTAGGTCGCCCCTGAGTTTTTCAACCCAAAGGCTATCACCTTGTAACAGTATGTGCCGTCCGGAGTGAGGAAGGCCGTCTTCTCCTCATCATCTTCCGCCATGAAGATCTGATGATACCCCTTGAAGGCATCCATAAAGCTGAGCAACTCACACCCGGCAGTTTCATCCACCAATTGATCCGGGCTGGGCAGAGGATAAGAGTCCATCGGGCATGCCTTGTTGAGGTCTGTGTAGTCCACGCACATCCTCTAAGTATCACCCTTCGGGGCCAGGACCACATTGGCCAGCCATTCAGGGTAGTTTACTTCCCTGATATGACCTACCTCAAGTAGGTCCTTGACCTCTTTCTTCACAAAGTCCCTCCTATCACTTGCCAAAAATCTCTTCTTCTGTCTTACAGGCCTAGACTCTCTTAAAGAGAGTCTTGTTCTTGAGTGTCTTAGTGTTGTATACACGTTAAGGGAAGCTTGTTTCCCTTGGTTGTACGAAGGAAAGGTATTTTCCTTCAGGTTGAAGTCTTGGAGTGCGGTATCTCCGAGCAAGTGTTGTTGAGGCTCGTGGGACTCGAGTTCTCAGGTTGTAATAGTTTGTTAAGCACCTGTAAGCTTAACGGAAGTAGTGTAGCTCGAGAGAGTCTCTCGGGAGGCTGGATTAGCCACAAGTTGTGGTGAACCAGGGTAAAATTCGGTGTGCCTCTTACTCTTCTCTTTACTTCTCTTTTAAGTTTTTTTATTCCTGCGATTTCTACGATCAAACGTTATTCACCCCCCCTCTAGCGTTGGTCACTTATTCTAACAATTGGTATCGGAGCCTAACTCGCGTCCAAACTTAACCGTTTGAGAGTAAAGCGATCATGGGTTCTTCTTCTAGAAATTTGTATGCAGGAATAGGTGAAGGGCAATCAACCACACGGCCACCTCTTTTTGATGGAACCAATTATACATATTGGAAAGAACGAATGAGAATCTATATTCGTTCCACGAACTTCCAATTATGGTTGGTTATCAAAAACG